GAGCTCTGGCTGAAGCCTTTCCCACATTCATAGCACTGGTAGGGCTTCTCTCCTGTGTGGATGCATCGGTGGATATGCAGATTTGAGCTCTGGCTGAAACCTTTCCCACATTCCCCACACTTGTAGGGCCTCTCGCCCGTATGGACACGCTGGTGGATGTGCAGGTTTGATCGCTGACTGAAGCTCATGCCACACTCTTCACACTTATAGGGCTTCTCTCCAGTGTGGACTCTCTGATGGATATGTAGCTTTGAGCTTTGGCTGAAGCCCTTCCCACACCTGTCACACTTGTAAGGTTTCTCACCTGTATGGACTGCATGATGGATGAGCAGACTTGAGCTCCTGGTGAAGCCCTTCCCACACTTGTCACATTTGTAAGGCTTCTCCTCCCTGTGGATTGCTTGATGTATCAGCAGACTTGAGCTCCTGGTGAAGCCCTTCCCACAGTGCTCACACCTGCAGGGCTTTTCATCCAGGTGGTCTCTCTGATGCAGTAGTAGTTCTGAGTTCTGAATGAAGTCTTTATCACACTGATCACATTTGTACAGTTTCTGTGCAGTTGGGAATTTCTCACAGAGATGACCGACTGTGCTGGAGGTAAGTATTTTCCCACAGTCATTACAGTTATAGGATTTCTCTGTATGTTCTCTCTGATGACTGTAATTGAGCAACTGTGATTTCCGGGTACAAATGTCTTTATCGTTACACTCAAAGGAAACTAAAGATTCTTTGAACGGGACATTCTGGCAAATTGCCCCCCTAAGGGAGAGTGGAGACATGGGTTCTGTTACAGCAGATGTAAGTCTGACTTGATTCTCTGCACGGTGGTCCACAGGAGGACAGTCCTCCCTTACTCCTTTCCCCTCCGTTCTTTCTTCAGTTGCAAAGAGTCCTTTGCTCCCCTGAGACTCATTCTTGCTCAACTTCACAGAGGAGTCCTGTGTGGCCATTTGGCTTGGGACTTCAAAGATAATTATTTTTTCACTTTCAATGTTCGTGAAATCACTTTGGAGAATCCTCACGCTGTTTTTCTTTCCAGAAATATGGCTCGATGCTTCTCACCACTTTTGGCAGGAATCTAGTTCAAGGTCCCTGTATATTTCTCTTTGAAGAGTCACAGCATTATCCTGACTCCAGGTACAGACCAGCCGTTGCTTCCAGAATTAGCCACTAGGAACGCCTATAGAAGATCCTGAAGTCCTTTTTCTCTTGAAGATTTCCCATAGAATCTATGTTTGGCTCTCCTAGGAAACAGAATTTGGTGATGAGAACAAAGGGTAGATTCCAGATTTCAGAACAAGAGTGTTTAAGGCCTGAACACTTGTAAGTCAAAGTTTAGCTTGTTCTTTTTTTTTTTTCTTTTTTTCATTTGCTGGGTCTTGAACCAAGGGCCTTATGCATGATAGGCAAGCACTCTACCACTGTACTACGGTACTGTGTCTCTAGTCCTTAGTTTGTCCTTATAGTTATATCTTTGGGTTAACACCAGGGTCCAGAAGACAGGTATGTCTCTGTTTCTAAGCATGGCCGATACAATACTCTTTCACTATTCTTGTACAAGGTTGTGAATCCTATACTTTGACAAAAATAACATTTCATTTCACTTCACTTCACTTGATTTTGACTAAATACTCATTTAATTGGTTCCCTGTTTCTGTAAGTTCCCCGCAACATAAGAAACAAAAGAATTTTTTTTGTCTGACAGAGCGGTGTTCCCTGGGATGAAAGACAAATATCTCGACAATGAGAATACCGAATTAACTCACATACATGTTTGTATAATACAACATACTAGATACCAACCAGCTATGGGGGTAGACTGGGGACACGAAACTCAAACCTTCAAGACTTAGGAAGAGTCTAGGAAAAAACATAGAAAAAATAGGTAAAATATGGAGAGAAAATATGACTCATGTAGGAAAACTGCAAGTTGCTTATTGTAAAGGAGAAAACAGGTAACTGGTCTTTGGGGCAGCTCAATGGTAGAGTGCTTGCCTAGCTTGTTCAAGGCCAT